GCGTGGGAGATGGCTCTGCCAATCTCAATTTGTACCCAGTAGAAATGAGACTCTAATGCTTAGATTATCCACAATTGGAAGTGTTAACCAATTAACTAACCTAGATATAAGTTGTTACCCAGGACTGCTGTCAGTACATGGGTGGTCATCCATGGCTCCTACATCTCTGCCCCTTCTCTCTCCTCCTCTTCCTTCTTCTCTTCCCCTCTTTACTCCTCCTCTTCCTCTTCTTACTCCTCCCACCTTGGCTCCTCCCACCTTGCGGGGAAAATATGCTGCTACACTATGGAGGACATCTCTTATTTAAATTACCACAATAACAAAGTGTACTAGTTAGATTTTTACCATCTTGACAGAAGCTAAGACCATCTGCTGGGAGGAAGCCTTACTTGAAGGACTGTCTTCATCAGATCAACCCATAGGCAAGTCTATGGGTGCGTTTGTCTTGATTAAGGATTGATGTGAGAGGACCCAGTCAACTATGGGCAATGCTATCCATGGGCAGGTGATCTGGCTAGTATAAGAACGCAGGTTGAGCAAGCCAGTAAGCAGCACCCCTCCATGGCCTCTGTATCAGCTCCTGCCTCCAGGTTCCTGCTGTGCTTGAGTTCCTGCCATGACTTCCTTCAGTGATGAACAGTATTGGACACATAATCCAAATTAACCCTTTCCTCCCCAAATTGTTTATGCTCATGGTCTTTGTCACAGTAATAGAAATCAAAGTGGGGCAAAAAGATTTGAGCCTGCTTCTGCATCACTTCAAGAAGGCTCAAGGATTTTAAAGTTGGTGGTGACAGAGGAACATGTTTTATACTGCCTACTGCAGTATATATAGGTCATGCGGGAACTGTTTGAAGAGTTATGTATCATTTAGAAGGATAGAAACTGCCTGGGGACCTGAGACAGAAGCGCACATTGGGCAGGTAGGCTGGAATGCTGGGAAGGATGTCACAGTCTGTGGTTGCCTATATTGGTTATAAGAAGCCACATAAGATTTAAAAGCAGGCATGCCTTGACTGGCCCTGTGTTTCAGTGAGATAATTTTTTGCAGCTGTGTGGAGGATTCTTTTGGGGAACCTAGAAGACCATATGGAGACTATTAACAACAGCAGCCAAGAAAGTGACAGAATTCTTATGTCTCCTTTGTTTTCAGTGTTTATATAAACTTCTTGCAGGAAAAACTGGTATACAGGAAACACACACACATGTGTGCATGCACACACACACACACACACACAGAGAGAGAGAGAGAGAGAGAGAGAGAGAGAGAGAGAGAGAGAGAGAGAGAGAGAGA